GCAGCCATGCTTGTTTTTGTGTCAATGAATGTAATTAAGTACTAAAACATGAAAAATGCAACTTGTATTTTGTGTTTCATAGAGGTGAACAAGAATGAGAGTTCACTGACAAAACTTCTGTATTTGTGCCATTTTTGTCTTTCTTTGAATTGTAGCCACCGCTGCCTGCCATTGTGCCGTGTGTATATGTTCATTGTCAGCGTGCCCTGCAGCCTGCCACTTCTATAGAGAAGGTCTCTAACAGCACAGAGCCTGTGTTCATCAGCACTCTGGTCACATAGGTTTGTCTCTGTGGCCTCGGTACTGGGATCTGAGTCTGTGAAGTGGCTGCCAGGCCCCTAAGGACACTGATAAGCCCCCATAACATTCATTCCCCAGTTTGCGTGCGCGTGTGTGAGAGTCAGAGACCGAGATAGAGAGAGTGCGAGTGTGTTTGACAGAAAGAGGCAGAGAGTGTGTATGTGTGAACTAGGCCAGGCTGATAACAGTATGGCAAGTGAGGGAGCAGCTGATAAGCCCCTCTTGTTGCTTGGGGTAACCGGGCCTTGTTAAATGAACACAGTGAAATATGGTGTGTNNCATTCATTCTCTCTCTCTCTCTCTGCTGCGTGTTTAGCTGTAAATAGCGTGTGTTTTGTGTGTGTGTGTGTGTGTGTGCGTGTCGAGGAGGGGATCGGGAATCGGTGGAATCGAATGGTGGAGGTCACAATATGCTCTGTTTTTTCAACCCTCCTGGTGTGTATATGTGTGTGATTTAGCTGACATTTAAAGTAAATCAATCATATACTGGTATTTTTTTGATAAACACTTTTGGCAGGGTGTTTAAACTGCGTCAAACAGCCATGCTCAGAAACTCACACACTCTCTGAAAAATACTTTCACTTTCTCCTTAGCACATGTCATGCAGCACATACAGTCAACCAAACAGCTACTAGTACTTGGTTTTCTTTTATTGCATTCGTTGTATGAAGTATTTGTCAGCATACAGAGTGGTAGGCCTGTTATATGGTATAAGAAGTGGTGGGCTTACCTTGTGTTTATAGCTTGTGTCTGTATGTGGCAGAGCAGCAGTTGCCTGGAGGATCCAGAAGAGAAACGGAAATTGTTCTCATCCCTTTTGGCAAACCAAGAATCTGCTTACAGACCTGGGATCAGTTTCCTTTTACGAATTTCCACTCACCAAGGAAAGTGCCACACAGACTTTAGATCAGTGTAGATCGTGTTGATTTTTTTCTTCTTCCCTTCAGAGCCCGTCAGTTATTGCTTCCTCTTTTTTTTCCAGAGAACTGCCCCCCCTGTGAGTGCTGATTGGTTACCTGTGTTGTGAGTCAAGGTAACCCATAGTGACCATTGTCAGTGTGGAGCAAATGTAAACACGGGCGTATTTGCAATGTAAAGCAGCTGAGAACCGAGCAAACTATCTGCAGCCAGGTGCTTCATATAAGGGTAGACAGCTAGTGTGTGATGATCTCACTAAATGTCATATGAAATCATTATGTCAGCTTCACCTGCATGAAAAAGGATTTCCAACATTATGAAGCTCTGTTTGATTCCCTGTGCAGTTAATGTTAACCTATAGGCAAATGAAGATATAGGGCGAAAAATAGCAACAACAAATGTGGACACAAAGCCAAAAAAAGGTTGCACACAGACACACAGGACGATAAAGTAAAACAGAAGTCTGTCTTTATTCAGTCCCTGATGCTCCCTGGTGGCAAAACCCTGCACCAACACCCTTAGCAACAAGTGTGAGCGATCCTTATATTTCCTTTCCTTCCTCTCTCTTCTTCTAATAAACAACAAATGGAGCTTATATGGCCATCCGTCCCAGACTGTGGTTCAGTGACACTCAGGGGTCTGCTATAAGCCCTATGATCGCTGACACAACTGTTTCTTGGAAATCATCCACTCTCTCATGAGAACGGGGCACTCTGCAGCCTCACTCTCTATGTATACTGTGACTGTTGTAATGGTTGCATAATTACCCTTTCTGTGAACTTCATGTAAGAGAAACCAGCTTGTGCGTAGCCGTCATATGTTCACATAAATAAAAATGGAACATGTATCATGATAATTTCTTTGACAAAACTCATTATTGAATATGTTCTTTGCTGTCGTAAGAGCTTCATTTAGCCACTCTGAAGCACGTAAGAGGATTTTTATTATTATTCTACCTTTCATCTGATCTGTATTCATCCCATATCAGTGGGTGTTGGACTGATAAGGCAGAATAAATCAAGCCTCCCCTTCATTCCTTCATTTCTTTTTGTCATTTTTTTTTTCACTTCTACAACAGCAGGCAGCTTCAAGAATGTGCTGGTTTGGCTCAGAAATAAGGTTAACTCCCATAATGTTTTGATAAAGTAGCAGAGGGCAGGGTTTTATTGTTACAATATGTGTGTACATGTGTGCGAGAGAGGGGCAGTGTTATTGTTAGATATTATCGATTCTTTAGTCCAATGGACCCCAAAATAAAGTACAATCATTATTTTCAGTTAATCACAGAATAGTCATAATTCTGATGAGTTTTGTTTTTATTCAGTTTTTGAAATCCACATACATACTGTCGAAAGCTGATTGGGGATAGAGGGTCAGAAAAGGGTAAAGTCTGACTTTCACTTGCAACATGATTCATGATGTTGCCATATGCCAAACATTTTAATAATATGTATGTTGATGTAGAATTTCCATTAAGAAATTAAAGTTTAAATGGATTTAAGGATTAAACCTGGCAGCGTTCTCCATGGCTGGCAAATGAAACCAACACCCAAGTAACAAAAACTGCAATTCCTTGAACAGCCACTTGAGGCTGGCTAAAGAAGTGAGTCAATCTCCATAAGGCCCCATAATAAAATGGCTGTTTCAGTCAGTTTCAGTCTCTAAAGCTAAATTCTTCAGTAATTGCAACTGTATGGGGTGTGAATTTTTATATAACCGTTTAAATTATACCAACATCTTCTCAACAGCTCTTAAGAAACCAATGGTGATGTCACAGAGACTATGTCCATTTTTAGAGTCTATGGATTACATTTTTAAACCGTTAAATTAAACATTTTGTGGGGAGAGTGTTTTAAATAGAGAGGAGGGTTCAATAGTTTTGCTCTTTTTTTAAAGTGGAACATTAGTTTAAGCCCCCTTTCACCACCCACATCATTTCCATACAGTCCCTTGGTCCATTAGTTCATTAGTTGATTGACAGAAAATGTATTGGGAACAATTTTGATTAGTGATTAATTGTCAACGATATTAGAAATGTTCTAGTTCCAGCTTATCAAATATAAATATTTGGTTCTTGTCCTAGTCTTAAATGATTGTAAACAGAATAATTTGGTCAGATAAAACAAGTTATTTAAAAAAGTTTTGGGAAACTGTAATGGCCATTTATCACCTTTTTCCTGACAGTATGTGGAGTACAACAGTGTAAATGATTTATAGATTAACTGATACTGAACACAATTGTTAGTTGCAGTTATACAGTATGAGTATGTCTTTATTAACATACATTTGACCTCAATGACAACCTGCAAACATCTGCACATTTACTTGACGTACATGCTGACAATTGTTAAGTTTACAGTATTTGGCTGCGACCACCCTGCACAGCATACTGTATGTTTATCTGTAGCTGATAAATAACTTTTTATCTTGTATACTGGCCACATGGATTTGTCACCACATTGTCAGACAAGCAAAAAGGGGACATTCATTAACAGTGTAGGACTGTGACACAAAGTTTGAATGTCCCCTGATGTAGAACTGACGGGGGAAATAGATGAAAGAAATCCGATCATGTGCACGGTACGTCAGTCTGATGCATTCCTTCTGCTAGCCACGTCTGCTCACCTTATGCTGCTTCTACTGCTGGCACTGTGTGTGTGTGTTGTCTATGCATGTGTTCAAGTATGTGACATTTGTACATCTGTGAAAGTGAGTGATGAGTTGCGTTTTTCTGTCATTTATCAACCCTTTCTTGAAGTGTGAAATCAATGGTGTGCGACCAAAAACAGCACTCCAAATTAGATCAAATTTGACATTAGACAGCATTTTCTTCTACGTGCACACTCACGTGCGTATGGACCACTGATACGGAGACTCACATACCTTTGTTTTGTGTTCTCATAGGCAGCATGAGGGTATTAGTTTGAGCTTGGTTCAACATTTTTCCCTTGAAGTACTCCCATGGCTGGACTAAACACAGAAACACACACAGACACACTTTAACACTAATAATGAAAGCATGTTTTCTTTGTTCTTCCAAAATGTTGGTAGAAGCTGAGCCAGACTGAAAGCTCTCCTCCTTGTGCTATCAATCCAGAATAAATATTCTAAAACTATGAAGGAAGCCATCAAGTCTTATAGATCAAGAGCTATGCATATGCTTTTAAGTGATTACATTTCTGTCAGATGCAGTGTATTCACATGAGATCAAAAGACAGGAGTGAGAACCAAAGAAGGTAGAAGATGGCTCTGGATAACAGAGAAAGGTAACCGTGTCTAAGGTTTGTGTTTAAGTCTCAAAAAGTGCTGCTTGCTATGCAGCACTGTTCAATATGCACCAAAACGTTAAAAGAAGAAAGTACTGCTTCTCAAATATTTGAAAGTTAAGTCAAACATCATGTTCATGCAACTGCAGCTAATTGTTTTTGAATGCAGCTTACTGGCACATGTCTGCAGAACATGCTGAGGAAATATGCAAAATGGTGGATTGTTGGGGTAGAAAAACACAAAAGAATGTTTGGAGAAGGAGAGAGCAGAGAGGGGCCAAAACAGGTCTGTTCACACCACACCCCAGCCCCTGAGACCCAGAACCCCAAACTATCAACCCTCCAATCCAGCCACGCTCCAGCACTTAAAGCTGGCTTCTAAAGCTGTGGTGGAGAAGACAAACTGTGCAAACTGCGTATGTGTGGGTCTGTTTGTGCATATCTAAATTACTGTACGTACATACTGTACTGTATGTGTGTGTTTGGAGACACAGTGTCTATATCTATGTACTGAGAAGTCTGTACAGTGTTCCACCCAGAATTCAGTGCATTTAATAAAGGAAAAGTCCAAAAGTTTGAGTTTAAAGAAGCTCTCAGCCAAGCTAAGGTGATTAGTCTATTAAAGGTTTACAGTTGTTTTTATTGCTAAATGAGGCATTTTCTCTCATTAACCTTTTGGCATCAGTCTGGTGCAGATTTTCGTCTCTGTTTTCTGGCACCGAATAGCTATAAAAGTGACATTAACTCCCGCAATAGACTGCCGTTGTGTTGTCCTCCATTAACTGTGTTGAAGTCTAGATAGAACATTACAGCTGAGCAGTAAGGGTAAATAGAGATACACTTTTAAAATGCAGAATTGCTTTTATAGCAATAGTCGGACATAATGGGAAATATGCTTCATTTCTTTCTTGCCAAGTGGTAGATGAGAAGACTGATACCACTCTTGTGTGCCCTAACATGAAGCTACAGCTAGGAGATGGTTAGCTTATCGCAAAAACAGTTAAAAAATGACAAAAATGTTCATATTATCTCAAGAATTCCAACTATGACAACATTTTACACAAATATCTAATAGGATAAAATGGTGGTAACATTTTATATCCGA